AATAATTAAAGACTATTCAAGCGTAGGTTTAATCTTTAACACTTTTGCAGATCAAATTAGAATATTTTGCGTTTCAGTGAGTGAAAAACTGATTCCACATTGCAAGATCTATGCTAGTATTGTGAGCGCGTTTGCGTTTCATCTTGTTTGCGAATTCGGAATCTTTAATCTATTGCAATCTTCACAGTCATCCATCCATTCGGTAATATCTGGTCTGCTGGCCTTTCGATTCTCCTCTTCGCTCGTCCGACCACATCAATGCATTCGCATTCGTCGAAGAGCGAAAGAGCAAAATTCAATAAGCATGCGTTTATAATCTATTTGAAGGCTCGCCATGCAGAAGATTCCGACTGAATGGATCACATTCAGACTTAGAAACATATGTGATCAATATGTTTTACAGAAAATGTTTTGTTTTTTTAGGTACGAAAATCTATTTATTGATATTTTTTGTGATGAGCTCATGTTTTTTTGCAAAATATTTTGATGTTATTTTTTAGTATCGCAGGTATTTGGACGGTTTTAGGTTGGGGTGCGTGGTTTATTCGGCTGTAAGTCACTCACGAGTTATTTGAAAATTCCATTTTTTTACGCACGCAGGCGGGAGCGTGTCTGCTCAAAATTTATCTAGTTTTATGTACATATAAATCGATGTATTACGCGTATCACGTGTTAAAACGCTTCAAAGCGTCGAATTTTGAGCGTATCACAATGAAATTTCGTTTGTTTTTGTATTTTACGCTTGTATTTACTATTTATCATAACTTAGATTTTAAAATTTATCAAAAAAGTAAATTTATTTATGTTTTTGTAAGTAATACAATACAAAAAATAATTTGAGGCTTTCTTTGGCAATTTTTTAACAAGCTTATCTTATAGAGAATTTTCCGTAGATTAAGAATTTGTGATCCGTTCTTATTTATCTCTTTTATTTTACTAGATGTTTGGAATTGAAAAAAGTGCAAAAACAAAAAAAGAATCACTTTTTGACACTTTCGGTCACGTTTTTAAGACTTTTACCCCACGAAATTAAATTATTTATAATCCATATCTAATAGAGAATTTTTCAATCTTTTATAATCTGCAATCCGTTGGTTCCTATCACTTTTAGATTAGGAGATATTCCTTAACGAAAATTCTCAAAAAACCATGATCTAACAAATCATTTTTTTAAGTTTTATCCATCATTACATTGACAGTATATTCTGATTCAAGTATGTGATTAAGTTTGCAACCCACTCAACGCATTCTTTACATGTCTCCCTTGAAGATACTTTATACTAAACACTCAATGCACAATCCCTTGTCTATTGATTCTATCGCCAAGCTCATTGTTGCATCGTACGCACGGATTTATTCCGCTCCCGATTGATATCGAGTTATTCCTTTGAAATACTCGCATCCCACATCGCGCAGCTTGTTATGCACGCGCATATTTGATCTCATTTTTATTCCTGTACGCGATATTCCAATTTTATCTGTGAGGCATTCTATGATTCGACAATAAATTCCACGGATTGGGAAAGCAACTCAACTCGCTCGCCTTGTGTGTAGCGACGCGCGCGCGAGCTGAAATGGAAGTTGAATAGATTTGGGATTTTTTCCCTTCCATCGTGCACAATAGACGCGCGGAAAAGTTGTGTGTGGAAGGAACGCACCATTGTTGCAGTTTCTTTCAAAAATTCTTTGCCGAGAGACTCGGACTGTGTATATTATATATAGAGATGTATTGTGAATGTGTGTGAGGGAAGCTTGCGGTGGACTTTGGACTTGCTCGGACTTCGCCTTGTATCGTTATTCCATCATTCCATCTCCAGCCATGTGGCCATTATTTCATTACGTAACATTCACCGCGCGAGATGTTGAGATGTTTCAATGGTCTGCGAACTTTCGGCTTCCGAATGTGTGCGTCGAAGTTAATCCGAGCCGAGCGTTTCTTTGCACCCACCCGAGAGTCGAGACGTCCTCCTCTTTTTTTTTTCTTCTATTTTTTTTTTCTGTTATGTACTATATGTGGACGTGCGCGTATTCGGCGGTCGCGCGGAAAAAAATATTGAAAGGAGAAACTTGGACGAACGAAGTTCGGGGGCCGTTAAGAAATTCGGCGTCGTTCTTTGTGGTCGGCTGGGGAGATGACGCGCTTTGTTTCACTCGACGCGCCGGAAACGCAGTCGCGACTATAACTTTCATCATCAAAGCCAAGGATTTTCCGTCAAAAGTCAGTGTGTTTTTTTCTGGTTTGTAATTTGTTGGTATAAAAATATATATAAAAATAAAAACATGGGTTGAAAAAGTTGCGCCCGGATGCAAATTGAGTGCGTTGCCTGCGCTCTTCGGCGGCGGCAATATTATACCTTGTCACCTGCAACACTTTACCTTAACAACGCGCGACGGCGCGTCGAGGGGCTGCAATATTTAAATTTATGCAACTCATAACTCGTAAGTGCATCGCATTGATGCGATGGCTGCCGTTGGCGGCGAGTGGGGCGCATCAACGTCGAGTCGAGTGAGATTCATACGAGGCGGGGGCGGGCGGGAGATGCAGGTGATGCCGTCGCATTATTGAAGCTTCTTACACGACTTATGTTGTTACACTTGGCTGGGCAACGTGTTTTACGTAAGCAGATTTTTTCTTCAAGACATTATTTCGTTTATTTTTAATTTTAACTCTGTTTTTTTCTGAATTGAGGCAGATCATCAAAATATATAAACGTAAAAATATAATGTTTTTTTAAGACTAAAAAAATCACTATTATCTAAAGTGGTCCATTTTTGTTCTTCGATAGCATTTCATTGGTTATCGTAGAATCCGTAGAACGCGTTGTAGCAATTGCTACGGCTGCTGCACGCGGCTACGGCTTTAACTGCGCGAATTATTTTTCCAGCTTGATTCACTTGGATTACGCCGAGTAAATTTTCTCGAATGCTGCTGTAGCAGCAGCCAGCGCAGGGCGCACACACTGTGACTGATTATATTTATATTGTCTCTCGTTTTCATTGCCTTAATGGCGTCGCTCGACCATGGCTTCCGTCCGTAGCTTCGCAATGTTCCAGCTTTTTTAGGAATTTTATTTTCCAGTTTACAGCAAGCGTGAAGAAAATCAATTTTTCTTAGTTTACATCCTTTATTTCTATATTACAAGGAATAGTGCATCCAGAAAAGCGTAAAATTGTTTTAAAAAAAATAAATTTTCTTGTAGAATAAGTTTTATTTATGTCACTAGTGCCATCTAGCGAACGGTAAAATTAAGCGATAAAATAAATACGATATCACAAGAGTTTTGAAAGTTGTAAATTTGTCCCACGTAAAACTATGTACAATACTTATGCAGAATCTCTAATGGTAAATAATATCGGAACGTTATAATCCGCAATAATTAAAGCCGCAATTAAAGTTAGCAAGTCACGCGTAAATAGCAAGCGAACGACGTGAAGTCAAACGCGACGAAACAATAAACCCGAACAGATTCGATCTCGGCGCGCGACTTGGACGATTACTCAAGTTCGATGCAACGCAAATTTCAATTACGCATTAACAACCGTTCGGCGAAGTTCATGCGCCAGCCGGCAACGACGGAAACCAAAGCGTATCGGAACTATTTTCGCGCAATATGAATATTAAGCGCACTTCTCACCGCGCCGGGCGACCCCAGCTGCGCGCGCAATTAAAAGCGTATCTAACGTCGTTTAATAAACTTTAATCTTTATTTTGCTCGATTAAATCCGCATCAGTTCGCGCGCGCACAGTTTGCTAATTAGATACTAGTTACTTTGGCGGTGCGCAATAGCGAATTGCAGATGATAGAAAAAGGATGAAAACGACGCGCGTCCGTCGTGTGAAGTGGTGTGAGGTGGGTTGCAGGGTGCAAGGGGTGGTGTGTTGAGGGTTGCATTCAGCGGCTAGAGTACTGGACCGCCAGCTGTTGAGGCTGGGGACATTTTAAATAATCAACGAGTTTGCGGTCGCGGTTTGTCGAGCTCGTTTAATATATTTATATTAAACGAATTCAGATTTCATTTTAATTTCACAACCAACATGCTGTGCAACAACACAAGCATACTATTCATTTTAAGCAAAATTAATTATTAATATGGTACATATTTAAGTTTAAAAAATGTCAAACAAGCCCAAAATTAATTTAATTGCTATTGACAATTTTTATTATTTAAAAAACCGTTTTTGTTAGTTTTGTAGGTAAATAATTAAAAGTAACTCTAAATAATTGAACTGACATGACCACATCAGCCAAATGAATAGTTTTACAACTGTGATTTTTTTCTATTTCAATAGATTACTTTTTAGCAAATTAATTAAAATTGAATTGGTATTAAATGAAATGGCCTCGACGTACTTTCGGTTGACAAATATAAAAATGATTTCTTATTGTTTCACTCATTTTTTTATGGATATTGTTATTGTTATTGAATTTGCGCAAAACCTAAGGCGATTTCATAAATCGCATTCGCGTAATTGCAACATTTGTGAATGCGATGGTCGTGGGATTACCTTGCGTTCGATAGAAAGTTCCAATTTGAACTAGAAACTCGAGCATAGTCGTTAATAATTTTAGTGCACCGTCGGCAATAGGGTAATAAATTATAATTTGGGAAAAAGTTTTGAAATTTGGACCGCTGTTGGGACGATTAATGCTTGGTGGATCACATGCATGTCGAAAACAACTAAAATTAATTGGTTGTTACATTTTAATTGGTGTAATATTTTTATTGAAGGGTACACGACATTTCGCCGCAGACAGTTTGCCGCGAGAGATTTCACCGCGAGACTTTTCTTCGCGTTACAGTGCAACTAAAAACTAACTTAAAAATTTAATTATCCGTAAGATATCTATTTAAATCACAAACCACCTTAAGTCTATACAAGAATTGCATTACTCGTTGCATGTTACAACAATAGTTTTGGTTCTTAGTTTATTGAATATGTAATTTACTAATATTCAAAATCATTAAATCTTCGAGGCACTGATTATTGTTTGTTTTAGGGCTCTGAATGCTGAACAGAACCTCGCAGGAGAGATCTACTTGCAACAAATTGTAAGTATTATAATTATATATAATATTAAATTCCTGACTTAATTTTGTAAATTTTACAAAGGTAAGGTTGAATATTATACATATTTTTATGTGTGCGAGGCACTGATTTCAATTTGTTTTAGAGTTCTGGAAATTGAACGGGACCGCGTAGGAGAGTCATTCTTGCATCAAATCAAGTATTGTAATTTTTTTATCATATTCATGAATTAGTTTTGTGATTTTCCTACGTTGAAGCCATAAAAAATGCATTTTTGACAATTTAATATTAAATTTGTAAGCTTATTTATTTTTGTATCCTCTTTACCGTTTTCAGAATTAGTTTAAAAATTTACGTGTCATTTCATATTGTAGTGTGTGCATGACGGAACATGTTGTTGTTTTTAAAAACATGATAAAAGTAGAAACATAAATAGAAGAATCAAATAACAATGATAAAAACACTCGGTGGTCGAGTGGAGACGTGCACCTGCTGGCATGCTAGCAGACACGGATCGAATCTCCGGTATGGAAGGCATTTTTCTCAAATATAAAAATATCAGGTGTAATTTGGGTAGCATATATGAATTGCAACGAAATATAAGAGAAATTGGAATACAAGTGTGAAGGCAATAAAAGAAATAAGAAAGTAAATGGAGAAACGAGAACAGGGAAAAAGGAGAATAAGAAGTAGAAGAGAAGAGGAGAGAAGAAAGGAAGAGAACAGAGTAAGTAGAGAAGAGGAGGAGGAGGTAGAAGAAAGAGAAACAGGGGAGGATCAGATTTTTGAATTTTTTGGCACGTGTCGTTATAAGACAGTCTACGGTCGATCTCCCAGAGCGCCTCCGGCGCTCTGGTCGATCGCCCACTGCTTCAATGTGTCCATTGCTCCCGGCCCAACCTACAGCTACGATGTCTCTGCGCTTCATCCCCGGAATTATCAGGCATATCAACAATTTTTATGGTGGGGGATCACCCCCAGAGAGAGGGAACTCCTTATAAGGACAATCCTTATAAGGTCTTGTTCAAATATTCCTAAGTTTTAAGTTGTCTCAAGTGAGACGACACTTAAAAATATTCTTCTTCTAAGTTCTGACCTGTAGCTGAAATGAAAGAAGGAGTACACAAATCATACAGGTTACCTTAACAATTTTTATAGTGGGGATCATCCCCTGAGAGAGGGAACTGTTCCTGTAATCATAGAAGGGGTTCACACAAATCAAAGAAGTCAATATATCTTACTGTTTCTTTATTAACAATAGAATACAAGTTTAGATTTTACAAGTCAACCAAATACGTGCCGCCATGTTGAAACAGGACTTACACCTGCATAGCCACGCACATGTAAGCAAGTACCACGTAATAATTTTCTACCAGGATAAACAAATTAACAAATAGTTCATTTTCCACGTTATTGAAAATGAAAATAAATATACAGGGTGTTACAAATGAAAAATTCAATGTGAGAACAGAAAAACATTTTAACACTACAAATATCATTTGTATTTCACCCCAGGCTGCGGGAAACTAATATACAGGGTGTTACAAAAAGAAAACAACTTCATTTTAGAATATACGTTAACGACAAACTTTCAAACACTATAAATATGGCTATTTTTCACGTGACATAAAGGAAAATTAATATACAGGGTGTTACCAAAAGAAAATCTACAATGTAAAAAGCAAATGGCTACAAAGCAATAAAGATTGGCAACTTTTTTGCTGAGCAAGAGAATTTTAAATAAAGGGTGTTGTCAAAAGGAAATCTTCTATTTATACAGAAAATCACCCCAAAACAATAAAGATTGCTATTTTTTCGCAATAGAACATAATAAATCATACAATTATAAATAATTATAATTACTACTTTTAAAGAAATACTAAATCATGATTCCTTAAACCCAGAAACTAGCCAACACGTGAAGCCAATTACAAACAGAAATAAAATGCAAAAGCAATAATCAGGCACGATAAACGGAACCTAACGGAAGCGAATAGGCAGCCGACGGAACGCGACAATATTGTACTATTACATCGTGGATTAAATGCGACCATTTTCAGAGCTTCTACTAATTAATCCACATTTGACTGTTTAATTAGTTGAATGATAGCAGAATATAATATTTATGTTACACACCTTACGTTTTCGTTGGTAAAATACTCCACAAGAGGCACAAATGGTGGTGGTAATTCAAATTAATAATTAAATGAATACACAAAACAAAACCACTAGAAATACTTAACCGACGGGAGATATCCGCCGGCCGACGGCAAACACGTGCGTATCTTGTAAAACCACGCAATTCTGGGTTCCACGCGCGATGCCTCAGTAACTATGCCCCGCACTACTTCTAAATCTTATCTTTGCTGACTGATTTTAATTCAAGTACCTTAAAAATTACAAGAAACGCGATTAGTCGCCACAAAAACCGCCGATCAAGTAAACGCGTCTTTACCACGCGGCACCGCACGATCGACTAAGTAAGAAATAGAACAAACACTGCTGAGCGAGCCGGACGCGCCGCAACGCGATAACAAAAAGTTGTTTATGCACAAACACCTATAAGGATCAAGAGTGAGAACTATGAACAATTCATGTTGTGGATGCAGTCCAATGCAGTGAAAAGATTGTATATTGCGAACGTACTCTCTTATTGATATAAATAATATATCCTAAATCCAGAATTGAATGCAGTCAATATGAAAAGGCAGTTACGGAGATAATCTGATGAAAAATCTGGGACAAACACGAAAAAGCTTTGCTCGTAGTACTTTTAGCTTCTACGAAGGTAGCGGTAGAAGTGACTCCCATTCAGGACACCGTACAAAGGAAGCGGTAGAAGTGACACCTATTCAGGGCACCGTACGAAGGTAGCGGTAGAAGTGACTCCCATTCAGGGCACCGTACGAAGGTTGCGGTAGAAATGACTCGTGTTCAGGGCACCGTACGAAGGTAGCGGTAGAAGTGACTCGTGTTCAGGGCACCGTACGAAGGTAGCGGTAGAAGTGACTCCCATTCAGGGCACCGTACGAGGGTTGCGGTAGAAGTGACTTCCGTTCAAGGCACCGTACGAAGGTAGCGGTAGAAGTGACAACTCCCATTCTCTATTAGCTAGGCCAGTTAAATTGAAAATCTGGGCGATAAAAAAAATAATACCTACATAAGAAAAAGTGGGCAAAGGGATGTGCTGCATCACGTTTTTTTTAGGATAATCGGTACCGAATATTTTTTTAACTGATAACGCTAGCAACTTGCCGATCAAAGATCATGAAAGTTTGGAAAATTCTCTAAAAGATAAAACAAGAAAATATTTTATATTCGGGGTGTAAAAGCTCTGAAATCGTGGGTAAAATTTGAAAAAAAATATACTCCTAAGCGATAAAGAAAAAATCTATGAAGTAAATAATAACAAACAAATTTCCAAAATAAGTGATGGGTTGGTTATTACAGCATTAAAGCACGAAGCCGAACTTTATTGTAAATCATGTAAAACAACTCCAAGCAAGCACCGAGAACGCAGCCGACGGCACGCGACAATCTTAAACTGTAATTCGTACATCAAAGAAAAACGGAAGAATGTCTCGAATAAGTAATGCTAATCAACGGCTAGTATTAAAACAAAGACAAAAATGATTTGTGTATTAAAGACCACACGGTTAAAGTAAAAACATGTAGAATCTATTACGAATTTGTATTTCATATGGTTGAAAAAATGGAAGAACATACCTAGATGTAAAATTACTTTTTCTCATTCGTGATATCCAATAAGTTGTAAGGACCTTAATTATGCACACTGTAGGAACGATGATAAACGCGTATGTATAATACTAAAAGAGAATCCGACGGCCGACGGAACATCACTCACGCTTTACCACTGCGTATGAACTCGTTCAATTCATGTTTAACGAACACCGTACATCACTCGCGCACAGTCAAACAGAGCAATTAGAAATATTACGTAATAACGCGAAGAAAAATTAACGAATTAAAGATTGATTATAAAGGCAATGTGCGTGCAGATCACCAAACGACAAAAATAAGACTATCAGCGTACGCAAGCCAACCGCGTGGCGATCGCACAAAAATTGCAAGAGATAAGAAAAACTTGTTGGTTTGTAAACACCGATAATACCAGTGTGGTAGTGCAGAACATTCGACAGAACCCGTCTGTATTAGGGTTCGCAATACAAATATTTCGAGTCGCTTTTAACATGTCTTTATTAAAACGCATTATACACGTACGAAGCACAAAATTTTCCCCTTGATATATAGAGAAACTAATATACCGGGTGTTGTAAAAAGAAAATAACAACAATATAACAGAAAATGATTAGTGCTAGAAGAAAAACCGCAAAATAACAAACACATTGCAGTGTCAAGAAAAACTATAACACAGGGTGTTATAAAAAGAAAAGAAATTAAAATACCCAAGAAGGACAACCACAAAATAACTTCAATTTCGGAATCACAGCCGAATTTCATGAAGGCTTATGCAAGTATACTTTTAGCATGTACGTTTATAATAATTACATAAACGATTGTCACGGGTACTAAGTAGAAACTAACTTAAAAATTTAATTGTGTGAAATGTCTGAATGATTGTCCTAATTTTAAATAGAAACCTGGTCAAAATGTAAAATAAACATAAACAAGTTTGAATGTATAAGTGAAACACACGTCGGTGTGATGTACCGCGCGATGTTTATGTTGTTGTTGGGATTCTAGAATTTGGAATCAAAATGTTCACATGCTAAACAAATAGGTATATCCCGGCAACATGTAAGATAAGTTGATAATTGGAATAATTCAATGCAGTGGGTACATGCGTAAACTTTCATTTAAAAAATAGGCATTTTATTATTTACTTACCTACCACTATATGAAGCCCGGCTTAGGTAGTTCACGTGCTGAAACAAAAATGAGATAATGACTTAAATTACTTCACACGATGTGATTTATATCTGGGCATTACTGGTAATTGCTCGATACCTTTCCAAGTTAATTCAAATAACAAATTATCGTTGTACTAAAATTCGATCGCTGTTTGCGATTTGTAAAAGAATATGTGCGCAATGAATTAGTACCACAACACAATCTGTATTTATTACAACGAAACGCAAGAAATGGTTAGTCGTTTATAAAACAATTCACAGTTAATATCACAAGACACTTGGCGCAGCGCGAGATATCCGAATCATCAAACTCGACTGAACAGTTATCAAACGCAAGCATCACAGCGACGGCACAAGGCCAATGCACGCGATGCAATATAACGTGATAAGACTGTGTAGACTTGCACATTTTTATAAACACGTAGTGAAGATACAATCAATTCCAATATTTTAAATATGAATTCTAGTAGATTAAGGGGATTGATGGAAGTACTCGTAGTATTTTAAAGAATAATTCTATCTTTATGATACGACAATTTTAATCGCAAAACACTAAAAATGTGCGAAATATTGTTGCAGTTTGGGGGTGTTTTTCAGGTAGTATTATATTTTGTATGTACAACGTCTAAGGCTCACATATACACAAACATATTGGTAGAGGTTACTTCACACTTTAAATGTGTATAGAATACTAAAATACTACTTATTTCTACTTCAGTGCCATAGTGATACATTTGTAGTACAACGTTAAATATAAATTAAAAACATATAAGTTATTACATTAACTTAATAAAAACAAAAGTAAAATTTTATATATTTAGATTTTATGTATTACTAGTTAACCGGGCAAACGTTGTTTTGCCATATAAATTATTTCAAGTTTCTAGATAAATTTTAGTGTAGACAAAAAGTAACTTACTTATTATCAAAAATAGGGGTTGGTGATAAGAAACCAAAAATTTAGGGTTGTATGTATATTTTAATGCCACATTAAAAAAATAAAAACAAAAAAATTCGACCAAAATTTAAAAAAAATTAAGGGTGAACAACCCTTATCACTTAGAGATATGAAGTTACCGATTCTCAGACCAACTGAATACGCATATAAAAATTTTCTTTGAGCGGGATGAAAAATGATTAAATTACGAAAATGGCTATAAAGAAATAGGGGTTGGTGATAAGAAGCTAAAAATTTAGGGTTGTATGTATTTTTTAATTCCACATTATAAAAGAAATAAAAACAAAAGAATTTGTCCAAAAATTTTAAAAAAAGTTAAGGGTGAACAACCCTTATCACTTAGGGGTATGAAAAATAGATGTTAGCCGATTCTCAGACCTACTGAATACGCATATAAAATTTGATAAAAATCGGTAAAGCCGTTTCGGAGGAGTATGGAAACAAACACTGTGACACGCAAATTTTATATATATAGATAGTTGTATATATGGATAGTGTATAAATGTGACAACCAGTCAAGGCTTAGTTAACACACCCGTGGTTTGTAAAGCGTACTTTACATTTTATAAAACACGTTTATAAGTCAATAAAGATTTATTTTTATTTCAGTGTTACAGTGTTATAATTGTGACACTAGAAATTGTAAAATAGAAATAAATAATTATATAAGTGATTTCATTACCTTAATAAATTGAAGTAAAATTTTATGTAGTATATTTTGTATCAATAACTTCTAAGGCTCACATATACACAAACATATTGGTCAAAGCTTACTTCACACTTTATTCGTTTTTTACACGCAGCTACGGCAAATACTATAACAAAATAATACTATGTACAACATTTTGCACGAAACTACGATACTACATATCAAGTAGTCAATGATATGTATTACTTACAAGGTAACATCTCCGCGCATAGCCTTTGTAATCCTTGAATCCAGCAGCCGACGGAGAACAATTTCACGTTTTCTCACAATGAACACACGATAAATCATCAGTAACACAACACATTTGTTATTATTACATTTCGTTGATTCGTGTTCGAATATAACTCAATTTACAGAACTAATCGCTATTGGAACATGGCAACTCGCGAAACAATACAAAGAATAACTGACCACATCAAATACTCGAAACTTCTACTCGTCTCAGGTATGTTTCACCGACGGCGATAAGTCATTCGCAACTGCACGAATGCAAGACACTGCAAGACAATACATGTTTCGTGCAGCATGAGTTCCGATAGCAGACCGTTTCATGGACGTAAACAAATAAAGATAACATAAAAACAAAACCGGCCGCACCAATTCGCGCGCTCTCACACGGGCACGCACGTTTTCTTTTAAGGCAATGTACACTCACTACTACCTACAAACAACTGGCAGATAAGTGCGTTTAGAATTTAATGCTAGTATGTGCATTCTAACGCCATCGTGGCTTGATTTATAGAATTATTGATAGGTTTATTGATATTTTCCAACAAACATTTTTGACGATGTCCTAGAAGTGAGACATGTTAAAAATCGTACAAAAATTGTGATTCATTTACATGTTTCGAGATTAAATACATATAAATCAGTGAAATATTCTTTCATATTTATTTATTTCCGCGGAACGGTTAGCTAGAAACATGAGTTGTTTGTTGTGGTGAATTGTCTGCAGTGAACTGTCGTGCACCCTAATTGAATCATCAAATTATGTTTGTTTATGTTGAAGTATTGCTTGCTGTGATTTCGAGCGCTTATTATTTTGTTCTTGGATATAAATGAAGATTCAGTAACACTAGCGCCACCAACTGGTTGATACATTCACTAACAATTCAAATTCTACCCTAACTAAAATTTCTATTTCACGATTGCTGGCGACATTCAACGAAGACTCACGAATCAATGTTTTGATTTAGCTCTAGGTTATAAAACTTTGTTTCCGATAATAAAAATGTTTAAAATAAGTTGTTTAAATCGAACAAAACACTTTCTCAAACTAAATTACTCCACAAAAGTTGAAACGTGAGTTATACTATCTATAATATATGATCATATTTAACATATCAATTTATATTTATAGAGGAAAATGGCAAAGTGTGGTTGGTCTTGAAGTTCATGCTCAAATCACATCCCAGAGCAAACTGTTCTCAGGATCAGAAAACTCCTTTTCTAGTCCTGTAAATACTAATGTTTCTTTATTTGATGGTTCAATACCTGGTACTTTACCAGTGTTAAACAAAAGATGTGTTGAAGCTGGTGTACTTACAGCACTTGCACTTAACTGCAACATCAATGCAGTTTCAATGTTTGATCGCAAGCATTATTTCTATGCAGATATGCCTGTAAGTCATCATATTTTATTTATGTTTTAACAATGTCCTCATAAGGTTGTTTATAGGCAGGTTATCAAATAACTCAACAAAGATCCCCACTAGCAAATGCAGGATTTCTAGAATTTGAGGTTTTTACACCTGGGGTACATAAACAATCATATAGAATCAAAACCAACATAAAACAAGTACAATTGGAGCAGGACAGTGGTAAAAGTTTGCATGAAACCGACAGAAGTCTAGTAGATTTAAACAGAGCTGGTGCACCATTGATGGAAATTGTGTTTGAGCCTGATTTACATGATGGTGAGGAAGCTGCATCTTTAATTAAAGAATTAATTAATATATTACAAAGAATATCAACATGTTCTTGCAAAATGGAAGGTAATACCACTTAAATATTAATAAACATTATCAAATTAATTTAATATTTATAGAGGGTGCACTTAGAGTTGATGCAAATGTGTCTGTAAACAAACCTGGTGAACCATTCGGTACACGCACTGAAATTAAAAATATTGCGTCAGTTCGAGGCGTTGCAGGTGCAATTAAGCACGAAATCGCACGCCAAATTAAAGTTTTGGAATCTGGCGGGCGTATTACGAATGAAACACGCGCATGGGACGCTCTTAGTCGGACAACAGTTGCCATGAGAGACAAAGAAGTTGAACAAGTATTTAATTATAAACATAATTTAATTATTTTTAAATCTATGAGATGACTTAGGATTACAGATATATGCCAGAACCAAATTTGCCACCTTTACATTTATCAATTGGGCCGCACGGCAGAGGAAGCGTCGATGTAAATAAATTAAAGGAATCATTACCTGAATTGCCAGAACAAACACGGTGCAGACTCAGAGAAGATTTTAGTTTGTCACTTGAACATGCCATCATATTAGTTGTAAGATTATTTAGAAATAACAACTTATACAATTAAAAACAATTATTTTGTTCTAGAATGAATCAAATTTATTACAACTATTTGAAAACTCTGTGAAAACAAGCAAGAACTACAAATTAATCACAAATCTGTTAATTAATGACTTGTTGACGCTCGTTAACAAGGAAAAAATTGAACTTGATGACTTGTAAGTATTTAAATTTAACTTTTCAATCACAATCTTTAATCCCTGACAACAGTTCAATATATTTATCATTTATAAAAATAATTGAGATTTGTTGCTGTGGTAACAGTAAACAAAACAATACAACTGGTTGTAACTGGTAGTTAGGGGATAAAGTTGCTTTTTTCATACTTTACATTCACGTAAACCAATAAATAACTACTTTTTTTATATAGGAAAATAAATGGTAATGTAATTGGTGACTTAGCAACACTGATCGACGATGGAACGATAAATCGAACCACAGGAAAGTTACTACTGCATGAACAACTGTTAGGCAATAATGTGCCTGTGAAAAAAATAATCGAAGAAAAAGGCTGGGAACAACTAAACGACGACACAAAAATTAAAACGCTTTGTGAGCAAGTCTTAAATGAAAATCCAAAAATGATGGAACAGTATAAAAAGGGGAAGACGAAAGTATTCAAAGCAATTATGGGAATTATTTCCACCAAAACACAGCATCGTGTGAACATGGCCAAAGTTGAGGAAGCTTTAAAAGCATTGTTACACAAATAAAATTAGCAATATACATTTATTTCGCAAATAATAAATACAAGATTAACTTAGTTTTGATTCACTAAAGTTAAATGATAGCATATGACATAAATAGTTATGATTTTATAAAGAAATTGTTAGAATTACTTCCAGTCTTATCAATTTTGTTCAATTTTGATCATTTTGTCATCATTTACTAATTTCAGTAGGTTTTGATTTTGGTTCTCACAGATGTATGGATGTATTTAGTTGATTTTATCACGTCTGCATCTAGGAGCGACGAATGCCAGGCTTGAAAATGCGACATTTGCGCACCAGCGTTCTGAAGTATCGCAGACAGTGCCATGAAGGCACTTGGATCATTGCATTATAAGGCTGAAAACAAAAAAGAATAAAATTAGTTTTTATTTATATTTAGATGACTAGATAAATATCACTAATCTAATCGAGTAAAATAGTTGAAATAGCGTTTGTCTTGTTCGGATTTGGGTTAACGACAAATTTATTACGACAATCGGCGGAACTCTCCACACACGACTTGCATCCCGATTGGCTGCGTTCCACAAGCGCTATAAAAATAATTAAATTTGATATAATCGAGTGCAATCGACGCCTTCTGCGCGTCGCATTCAGCTGGTTGGTTTGTTGCACCCAGCGCTAATAACATTCGTTTCATACGCACTCACGCAAGATGCAACAGCCGCACGGAGTAACAACACACGGAGCAAAGAGCAAAACAAGATAATTGGAACTCGCACATCATTCACAATCGTGCTGCAAATTAGCTTTATTCGCTTCTACAACTTGTCAACCATGCAAGTTGAAGTAAAGTTATTCAAAAACATTATTCCGCATTACTTCTATTTCATGCTGGCGTAATCTAATAGTAAACAACGTCTTAGATTCAGTTAATTAATTTGTTTGTGTTCCGCATGTTGTAGGTCCTCATGGCGTGTCAGGCTGATCGTCGATGTACACCCGCATGACACGAACATTAAACTTTCAGCTTGTTTCAGCCTGTTTTAGCCGGAACGCTCGAAGACCAACGAGTGAAGTTGGTTGTTGTGGTTGACTTTGTTCCTTGCAGGCGTAAACATACGAAATTCGCTGCGGAGTTATTAACCAAACAGGCCGATTCACGATAAGCGCATAAAATCGCAATGCGGATATTATAGTCATCAATTTACATGATGAGACTTATTTTTGGTAGCTGAAAAAACTGCACACAACCAGACTGAGTCAGTCTAAATTGGTTTTCGGCAATTTTGGTGAGTGTGCAATCAAGGATAACGTAAATTTTGGTGAATACAAGTCATGGTCGAAAGATATTTTGATAATCGCCTTAAATAAACAAAAAATAGCTCGAATTATGACAATTTGTAATTGAATGGAATTAAAATGACCTGCATATTCATTCCGGTGATTGTTTTACTAATTTTATTCCTGTTTATTGTGTGATGGAGGACGACACATTGCGGTTGCCGCCCACCGCGGCGGTTTTATAAATTATTTCGTAATTTCGTGTCGCATTGTGTGTTGTTTTATGGATTTTTACTCCTGCGGCGTGCACGCCACCGCCGCGTGCTCTTATCACACGTCATGGAAACGTCGCCGCCGCCGCCAACCGGTGCCGCTCTGCGCCGCGGCGTTAACGATCTATTTCGAACTGATAAATCTAATTCCGTCAGTTTGCATAATTTAGTTTGTTGTTGTTCAACAACTGCCGCTTCCATGGTATTATGCTTTCCATTCAATGATGTTTAACGCAGTATTTCCGTGTGAAATATTAGATTCGATCCTAATCAATGTAATAAATACATTAATCAATATTTCTTATTAAAGAAATACTGCAGATTAAACTAGTTTTAACTGTTGTATGATAAACTTTACGAGACTGCAATGTGTTACACAATCTCAATCAGCAATAAAAAGTTATGCGTTTATTAAATGGAACAAAACATAAACTTGGAATAAAAGTCAACTTTTCAGTACCTATGCAGTGAAACTGCAGCATAATATTTATATATATACATTAAAATAAATCAATTTTATGGGAAATAATTATGCCTGGCATAAATATAAAATATAAAAATTATAAAAATAAAATACTTACGCTTTCTGAACTGATTGGATGACTCTCGACGTCTTCTATGCTCCAAATGCACAAAACGACGACGCAAAGTGCAAACAACTGCCAATATTTCATTCTCAGATATTGACGACTCAATAAAAATTTGTTTCTGTTCACGGTGTTTGATTGTTTTTGATTTGGTGTAAAAACTACTCGATAGTGGTGCGCGTTAGTTGCGCTCGGTGTTCGGTCACCCTCTGAAGTTCGATTCTTCGCGCGAACTGAATTTATACTCGGTGTTCACACGCACGTCGTCGTCGAGTACATCGAGTACACAAGTACGTTTCGTTTGCACGCGACGCACACGGAAAAGTTTCAGAAAGGCGAAGCGAGACGCATAGCGAGCGCGCTGACAATTTCTTTAAGCGCACGCACGCATCGCTTGCTTTATTATCACTTATCGCGACTTTCGGGAGCTTTCAAAGCTCGTGACTTGATTACCCTAGTTACCTACTTTTTATATGTACTAGGCGCGTACTTGTCACAACATTAAAATCTCTTGAAAACAAAGGAAAATTGTGTTTTTTAGTTTTATTAAAATAGCCGTTTTGTTTAAAAATTTTATTTAAACGGATATAAGTGACGTTGAAACGGAAATTGCATACGATACTCTTTGATTTGGTGTATTGTGTGTGTGCTCGGCGTAATCGTTTAATCACCCCGTGTGATTGACGCGAAATTTTTAGTTCAAGGTGCAAGTCGTTGGACTACATTTGAAAATACTCTTAATATTTGCAAGGTAACGTCTCCTCCAACCTTGATTTGAATCAAATCAAACACAATACACTTAATTTACGTTCAAGATATCATCTACAACGTATTAATTAGTTAAAAATCAATAAACAAACGAATTTCTCCAAGATATTTCGAATATAGTTATGCAAAAATCCGCTAAAGGCGCTGTAACTCACAACATTGTTTGTTTCAGATTGCGAGGTTACGATAACTTTTGCCTCTTTATCAGTGTCTTCACATCACGACAACAGGATCTACAAACAAGTTTCAACTTGCAAAATGAGTGCTCCAGTGAGTTATTATAATCAAATCTCTAATATGATGTTCGGTTTCGGCGATTCTCACATCCCCAACCCTGATACAGTTAGTTTGGTGGAAAACATAACATTAAATCAAATGCGTCTCATTGTTGAGGAGGCAATTAAAGTGCAAACCATCTGCAGTGACCCTGAAGCACCGCCAGAAGATAAGAAAACACTATCTGGTGAGGAACTCGTATTTCTAATGCGTAAAGACAAGTATAAAATGCGACGGTTTCTTAAGTATCTGTATAGTCAAATGCAGAAACATGTGCATAGCAACTTTGCGCAGCCAGTGCCAGTACAAGCACCACCGAAACACAATAAACTCATTGAATTTATAGAATATATTGATGAAACCGGTGAATTGACTGATCTTTCTGAGTATGATGAAGTGAAATATGAAAGAATGGTCAGGGCAGACAGAATGTCACTTGCATTAGGTGAAGAAGCATATATGAAGTTCTACAAGGCAAGATGCTCTTCATTTATGCAGAAATCCATGTCACAGATCAGGAATTTTGAGAGATTGAAGCAGTGGATTGATCCAGGCAACACTGTTAATTTCACCAATGATGCTCTCAATGTTCTTTCTTATTATGCATATGAAACAGTTGCACTTATAATTGACTATGCATTATTAGTGAGGTTGGATCACAACAGAAAAGCAGATCCATTAGAAAATCTTCAAGGAACACATTATTCTGCTGATATGTTTAAAGGTGAACAATTTAACGGACCGAATCCTGACTACAGTAGAGTTTACAGTGGCCAAGCACCGATCAGCGTCAACGAAATAAAAGAAGTTATGAGAAGGTTGTATATGCCTCAGGCTGGTATTTGCTTATTAGGTAAGAAAATGCCTTCCTCAAGAACTATAATTGTTGTTTAAAACTTTAAAAAACTTAATAATAACTCTATGTGTTATAAATTTATTGTGCGCTTTATGGACTTGAACTTGTTATAAAAGAACTCCGCGAGATGTCGCTGTAAGTACGATTTTCTTGAGCGCGCGGTTAAAAATATTTTCCTCGCGTGCCGCGCGCGGTCACTACTGGCACCGTTTTCCACGACGAATTTTCCTCGTGATCAGCTGTTCCGGTACACGAAGACACGCGCGTCCCGACGACACGACTTTCGCGAGTAGTGAAAATAGGTTATCGTTATTGACGGGCCACGCGAAGGCGGCGAAATGGGACGGCTATATGCGGCGAAGGAGTAGATAGCAGTGTGGAAAATGGCAGCGAAGGCGCCGCAGCAGCCCCAGCAACCGCAACATCTTACCCAGCCTCAAGCGCAACAACAACAGCAGCCACCGCAGCAATTCGAATGTCTTGAGATTAAGACAAAGAGTATCGAGGCGACACTTCTACCACTCGTCAAACAGGTCAGTGAATTTTCATCTTCTAGTAATTTAATTCATACTTGAAGTTTCTACTAGTTGTATTTAGTGTAATTAAAAGTTTTCGCTTTCATCTGCATAGATCTCGCACATTTTGTGTGTGTATATAAACACTTGAAACGTGCGCGTAGTATTTAATAATCTGCATGCTATTTTTGCTTATCACGTTTTTCACGTATTTTCTTTGCGCGCCGCCACAGCACGCTTCGTTTGGCGCCGTGGAACGCGAAAAGGTTTTCGAAACCTTTTAGCGCACATTGCATACATAAGTCGAGGTTTGGGATGCACGCGTAGTTTACGTCTTGCACACTTTATTAGTGCACTTATTGTGTTGGTTTCAGCGGGGTTTTATTGTGCTTGACAATTTAGTCGATTTTTCGGGTGTGGTGTGTCATGCATAATAAAACAGGGTGTAATATTTCTACGGCAGTGTATAATAGACTTTACAAACGATAAATCAATGAATTTTTATTTAAAACTCTTAATAATTTATTGATTTATTGTTTGTAGAGATAATTAGATTTAATACTTTGATTCTTATTACTCTAGTGGTATGTTTACCTAATTTGTAAGTTGGTGGCGGTTCTTTTCTTCTATTTTCTGGTATTTTTAGCACCTGTTTATCTCTAGTGCACGCACAATCAAAACAAAAACGACCAACTAACACAAAACAAGTCAAAACCGTACGAAATTAAACTACAAACACGACGATAATTGGCGTCGACGTTATTACTGGAGGAATGCGTTATATTGTGTTATATTTAGACTTTGTAACACACATAGGTACATAAAACACACACAAACAGACACGCAGTTTTTAAACACGTAGAGGTACTTATTCATTCGGAACTCCTTCGCCGTGACTAACGAACTGCAACATGCAAACGCAACCACTCTCTACGCACATCTTCTTCTTATATACAATTAATTAGCTTTATCTTGCTCGCCGTCTTCGACGTAGTTCTTGTGATTTTAGTGCGCTAGGCGCTGTAACTATGACGAGAAGTGGTGAAGATAATTAATAACCACAGCGTGTTTTCTAACAGGAGCAAAACGACCATTCTGAGGAGTGAAAAAAGGGCATCGACTGCAGTGTGTGTGTTGGTTTGAGAATAAACTTTTGTACATATTAAATAAATTGTAACATAAATCCTGTGGGTGCACAGTGGCTGTGTTTGTCAGCTAGTTGTTCGTGTTTTGGACTTAACATTAAATCCACTAAATCTGTACTGTACTCATTTGTGTGTTTTGTATTTGTGTGTACAATGGGTTACCGTGTGTGCATCCCTCTGATACCGCTTCCATTTGACCCGTCAACCAATCAATTATTTAGTTGCTGGCGTGCGCTGAAATGTGTGGCGAGTTCTGTGCGCGAGCGTAAAACGATGATAGTGAATTACAGATTTTGTGAACTATGAGATAATCGTGCAAACAATTTACATTGCGAATGTATGTTTGAAATCGTATTTTATTGCTTAGGCACTACAAAAATACTAGTTTTTGTAGGTTTAATCCAATTGCATTTTCATGTATTCATTGTTCATGGTGACCTTGTGAGTCAACCTTCACTATGGCAATTTTTGCAACGATCAGCATTCTTCAAATAAGCCTAATGGTCTTATTGAATACTGGGTTGCGTTTTTTCTTTTACCCTTTGAATTTACGACGCGCGATTTTTACACACAGAGACAATCAGCAGTGTCTGTGAGGCGGCTTTTTTCTTTTCTTTCACCTGAACAACTAACGCGCTTGTTACGAAACGAAAAACAATGCGTTTGATGTTTCGTTTCTAGTTGCTATTCATGTCATACTTTTGTTTTCGTCTATTATCTCTTATTTTCTCTGCGCACTTCAACGACTGATTATATTTTCTATACTTTATTGCAATTTCTTTAATCTTTTTATTTCGGTGAAAAAAGTGCAGTCGTGAATAAAAATTCTATCGAAGAAACTAGTTTCTTTGATCTAATTTTTTTGTTCTTGGTAAGAATTTATGTGAACACTCGTAAATCTCGGCGAATAAAAATCAATTATGCGCCCTGATTGAATAAAACACTCTGGGATTATTTGCTCTGCACATAATAGATGAAAGCATTACGTATCGAATGGTGTGCACATTGTATACGGCAAGGGTGTGCGTTCTTTACATATCACCGGAATGTGTTTGATGTAATATACACTCGGTGGCTTCGACTTACGTTGGCACACATTGAATAAATTGTATCCAGCGCGACGCGACGCGACTTCGTGGTATCCTTTTATCCAACCGTAACATAAACATCATAACGTTAGACGTCTGAGTCCTGGAATGATGACTATGACATTACGTTGTAAGCATCAGTCGTGATGATACGATAGAATGTGATACGTGTGGCGTGAAAAGCGTGAAAACTATAGCTGAATAAAACGTGTTTTCTTCTAAATTTAAAATGAAAACATTAATACATCAAGACATTCTAATTTAAATTTTTTGGTGCTTTGATGTCGATTCCAATTCATTTCTTTCCTACGAAAATTAAGCTCGTAAAAAGCGGACGATAAATCCGAATCAGTTTGCACTCAAACTTGAACAATGGCGCTCGAGTTCATAAATAACTTTTTAATGCTTCTGCAACTAGATTCGATTTCACGTGGTGTGCACATTCGCAATCCATTCCTCCGCTCGTCTCTATTTATTGCCCGACGATGCAACACATGTTACGGCTGTTGGCGACTTTTAAAACAAAACGAACTTTATGATCGCTCGTCCACTACGAATCTTCATTTTCCAGGAAAAGAAAATGCCGCTTTAAAAATCCTATACAAGAGAGAAATGTATCGTACAAGTTTTAAGTTTAAAAGTTATTTAATGTCACTAAAAAGTTTCGTTTCCTTGACTTGTACTGCATTCGGTAAAATAAAAGTAAAGCCCAACTTTTAAACTCATACGCCACTAGTTGAGCAAGAAAGGCATTAAACTTAATGTGGCGAAAAGTTGAAACGCAGAAAACTTGTTTACAAAATATAAATATTGTTGCTCCAGTTTTTGAGGTCACTCCTTTGTTCCCGGTTGAAGAAGTCAACTTTGCGCGCGATTCAGAAACAAAAACAAAAATTCCTGGCTTCAACCACGTCGCCGTCTATTTAGGAGCATGTAATATAAGGTGTAACTTCCGGCAAACGGCAAACACACTTCCGTTAGTTACATTTATAGCTCTGCGTTGACACAGTGCGTTCTTCTTCAAACGCGACGCGATTTCACTCACCGAGTGTTACATAAAAATTCAAAATGAATTTTTTAGTTGTAGAATGTTATAAACTTCAGATATTTACTGCATATCGAGTGTGGAAACTTTTTACAAACGATCAAAGATGAAAATTCGCTGGATGCGGCGTCGTGGAGTAATATTGCCGGCTTAATATCCCTGGCGTGCTGTCGCTTTAACTTTGTCAGCTCGAGGGTTGATAGTGTGCACACTCGGGGCGCGTAGATAGCACCGGAATAAGTAAAGCACATGCTTTGCTTCGCGCAAAGTGAGTGCCGGTAGCGCGCAAGCCAAACAGCACACACCGTTGACCGAGTTGGGAGATTGTTAGCGTGTTGTGTTTGCGTCGTTTTCCCGTGTCGGCTTTGCTCTACCCTCTGCTGCTTCAGTCGACCGTGGCGATATGTGCAAAACTGCAAAGGACCTCTTCACGTTTGCTAATGCGTGCGAGATAAAGGACCTTCTTGTCGTTTGTTGTTTCGATGCCAATGCGGCGACCCGAGTAGCTGAGGTAAAGGTAAAAGTAAAAAAAAAACGCAAAGAGTAATAAGCTATTTATATTATTCAAAGGAATAAAGTATAATATTTTAATTTTTGTTACTTGTTACTTGTTTTATTAGTGTTTCTTGTGCACTTAAGCTATGAAAGGTTATGAGGGTAATAAATAATTCACGTTTTATTCGAGCGCAATAAATAATGCAAATCTAGTCAAGCATTAATTAAATTTCTAGGCAAATTTGAGTTTTGCGCGCGCCGGGAAAAGCGAGCAGCGCACTCGTAATTAACTTACACGAGTTACGACAACACGCGTTACACGTGTAAAGTTCATTATATCCGGCGCGCACGTGAGATGTCACAATGGAAATAGAAAAGCGGGAAGGCACGACAACGATGGTGCAAATTGTAGAAACGTCGCAATTGGGAAAAGTCGTCACCGACACGCCGACGCTTGCCCCCGTGTTCCTGGCATTAATTAATTGAAATTGTCGTCTGCGCTACGCCGAAGTGAAATCGTAAACTATCTGCACTATAATTTACGGCGTAATGTTGTTGGTTTTGTTAAAGTGTGATTACTTTATAATATCATATTTCCGAGGTGGTTCTAAGAAATTTAAATATTCTTGGGATCGTTCTGCTATTAGGAGCATTCGCCGATTCTGGCAGGCATTTGGCGAATGAGTTTTCGCCTTCATAAATATTCAGCGCGCGAGCGACGAGTGCGGTAGCCATCCTGACGCGGACGATGGAAAACCGTTTGGCACGGATGGCGAATAGAATCCTGCGCGCGCGCGCGTGTATTGTAATTTGAAGCATCGAACGTGAGCCTGCAGGGGAAGGAGAGACAGCTAATTAATTTGATTAAAGAGTGCGTGTAGGTGTACACAGCGCGGATTTCTGAGTGATTGTTGCGAAATAATTACAATTACAAGAAAATTGATATTTTAATCATTGTTGATTTAATTATTTAGTTATTTACACAATATTCATAGAAATAACTCGACATTACAAGTTGGTTTACAACTAGTGTGGAAATAGTTTTCAGACAGTTTCGTTTGCCGGCTCGCTCATCCCTTTTGCCTTTTCCAGTCGCGTGTTTGCACGGTTGTGCATTTTAGAGTTTTGGAAATAGCATCAAAGGAATAGTTTCGCGCATGCTACACATAGTTATCGAAGTTGGAGTTATCTAAGTTATCAAAGCAAACGATGGACGCAGGGATGCGCACCGGTCGTTTGTCGCGT